AGTGAATTCTCTTTTACATAGGGCATGAATCCTCAATTTTTGAGTTTAACGATTGCCCGAGCTGTTTTGGTTCAGAGCCCCTTTACCACTATGGCGAGGTTGAACGAGTGTTTATGCTGGAGGCTTCAAGTTCGCGTGGACTTCAGTTAGGCCAAAGGTTTTACCCGGCCAAAGCCGATTATGCCAGAGGCTTCAAGTTCGCTTAGACTTTAGTCGGGCAAGAAATAACTCAACTTAATATTTACTCGATTCTTGGACTCCAGTTGAGACTTAACTCAAATCTGATAAAGTACTCGACTCTCGATAGAGGAGTGTTAACTCGATCTACTAGACTCTTTGATGAGGAGTGTCAACTCGATATACTCGACTCTTTGATGAGGAGTGTCAATTCAAGGTACTCGACTCTTTTATGAGGAGTGTCAATTCAAGGTACTCGACTCTTTTATGAGGAGTGTCAATTCAAGATACTCGACTCTTTTATGAGGAGTGTCAATTCAAGGTACTCAACTCTTTTACGAGGAGTGTCAATTCAAGGTACTCGACTCTTTTATGAGGAGTGTCAATTCAAGATACTCGGGGAGTGCCCGACTCTTTTATGAAGAGTTTCAATTCAAGGTACTCGACTCTTTTATGAGGAGTGTCAACTCAAGGTACTCGACTATTTTATAAGGAGTGTCAATTTGATGTGGAGGTCAGAGAGTGCAGCCGGCAGAGACTTAACCCTAATCCAGTCTCCAAGCATGATCGTTCCTCCTTTCCTGCAAAACTGACAGACAACAAAGAGTATCCACCCCGTTAGTAGTAATTTTGTTAGATTCTTTCCTCGATGAGATGAGTCGACTTTGCCTAATATTTTGTCTTGTCTTCTTTATCTTCTGGTTTATAGCTTTTAGATTTCTTCTTAGCATAGTATGTGTCGGCTTCTTCTTGAGAGTTTAATTTCTTCCATATAAGATCTTCTCACGTTCTGAGTTCATCCTATCTTATTTAAAAGCTAAACAAAGGTAGGGTGACCCCTGTCCACACAAGAGGAGAAAAGACGACACCCATTACTTAAAATAAACTCTAAATAGCTCTTAAAAGTAATCACAAACAACAAAATTATTTATTCGTCTTATTACAATAATACACTAAAACATAAACTTAGCAAAAAATACATCGTCCTAATATTTCGAAATCTTCATGTAATTATAGCCTTTCCTTTTGAACGTCCATGAGCTAGCTGGTGCATCCGAATTGTATCTTTCTATCCTTTTCGGTTTAATAGCTCCACCATATTAGCTCGTCGCATTTGCTTGTTGCCGGCTCGCCGAGTCATACAAATACACCAAGATACAAGTCTAGTTACTAATAATATCATAGATGTTTAACAATATACATACATGGTAAATATAGACTAAATAAATTACCAATTGCACTGATCATGTACTGAGGTTGACTTAAGGCATTTGTTTAGCAAAATCAAGTATCATATTTATGGTTGCGCGACTTCATTCCTATGCCTATTACACCTATATTATAAGTATAAATTGCATGTACTACACCTATCTCTCCGGCGAATTCTTTACCCGAAACGACATGTCCAGTTCGATACGTTTTTATTTGTCTTTTATATTATTGCTTCAAAGTAACGTACATATAATAAGTGGTATTCATTAACTTTAAATCTTTCGTAACTCTTAAATCATGAAAAGCTCATTGTAATAACATACCAATAATTATCCCTGTTACTTGTTAACAACAATGAAAGAATGATTAAGACATACCTCACCGTTCGTTTTTCCTAGTAATAACTTGGTCTCAACATTTATTTTACCCATGAATTGCATGACTAAACTACTTGGCTTAATTAAGTTTAATCATGAATGTCAACGGGTACCATCCTAGGCCTAGTTACAATTGAATAATAATAATGTTGTACATTGAACATAACATTTCTTTCTAATCTAAATATTTATAGTCCCTCACATATATTTATTGAATTCCTAATGTCAGTACTGTTTATGTTTCTCGTCTTATTGACGTTTCTCCAAGACAAATTCTTTTTTTACTAATAACATACAAACTGCATCGGATAATTATAAAAATCATAATTCACAAAGCCTCAGTGAATGAAAATGGCAAATATAATAGAATGTCTATTTCACCTTAATGATCGACAATCATTTGAAGTAATTGAAACATATTTAAAAATACGCCCCCAAACAAAATTATCTTCAGCGCATGAAATAATAAGAAAAACGTGAATCAAACCATAGATTTTGAATTGTTGGCATCACCGTCTTCCGTAACTGGAGCATCATAATTGTGTGAAGCAAGGTTGAGTTTGCAGTCAACGTCGTCTACACCTTCACGTGTTGAGAACATATAGTAAAGTTATGCGATGAATGATGAATCTTGAGGCCCGGGTCAGTTTTATCAGGCCTCACGATGGACGTCAAATATTCTTGCAAAAAATACTAAACGAGTAACTTCCTTGTAGGAACAAGAAGAGTCCCAATATGAGTAGATTTCGGTATGATTTTGAGAGATTTTGGTGCTAGGATGATGGTACTATTGACCCAAGATGAATGTCTTGCTTATCCCTCTGGGGGAGCCCCCTTTCCTTGATCTTCAGACTTATTTATAGTATAGGCCTTAACTTTACTAAATAGTCATGATTAATGGCCATAATAACGTAATTGTCCATTAATCACTTGTAACGTCTCTCATAAACGTTTGTAACGTTTGTCTCATCATCAATTGTCTATTACAACTCTTCATCTCCTCAGGTCCAACTTCCTACAAAAAAGTTCATATCCAACGACTTATTCAATGTCGATTCTGGGTCACACTCCGACTTATCCAACTGCTTAGCCTATTTCGACTTCATACCCGACTAAGACCTGACTGAGTAGTCGGATCCGGTCTGTAGGGGTGATCTCCTATATTAGTTTGCACTTTATTCTTTATCTGAGTTCGTACCTCAGCCTTGATAAAAATATTCCGAGATATACACCAATTTTTTTATGTTAGATCGCGTAAAGGCCAGAAACGAATGAGCGTAAGGGCCATAACACGAGAATATAATTCTTATGACTCTAATATTGGTTAAAATCGACTGAGAGTCATCGACAACTGCCTGAGGATACAATTCAATGAAAATGGATAGTAAATAGGTTCAGGAGTGTTTTCAGATATGCATCTCCGAACCAATTTGCTGCTTGTTTTATGAAAGGTGAGTTCAGATATGTATCTCCGAATAAATTCAAGGGCATTTCCAAGTTTTCAAGGGTGCACCCCAATATACAAAGGTGTAATGAGAAATTGCCTTGATATTTTTAATCAATTATTTTGTAAGAAAATGTGTTAGTGCCCAATCAAATTTTGGCCCAAAATATTTGTTTTATTTTTTGTGTGATTTTTATTTAAACATTTTAAAGCTTTTAGAGCTTTAAATTTTCGTGGTTTTACTTTTCTAAGTAAATGATGAACTAAAAAAATAATAGGTAAAGCTTTAAAGGGAGAGAAAGAGAAAGACGGGGTTGTATTGATCAAAGTAGCTATTAATTGATATTATTCATCAAGACAATGAATATCCACTTTATTCAGAGTCTTTAAGTGTGTGACTTTTCATTCTCAAGTTATTAATAGAATATTGGGTTGAATTTCTAGCATTTCATGAGTTAATATTGTAAATTCAAAAAGTTATCTTTTACCAATAAATAAGGAGTTAATCATAAATTAAAAAACAAGTTGAATTTTGTTAAACAAACACATCGTGTAATTTTGAGAGTTTTGCTCCTTTGATTCTAGATTGTACCAGGTTTTTGATCTTATCAAGAAATTAAATTTCTTGTGGTGATCTTCAATTAAAGCTTATCATTCGTCCTAGTTCATAGAAAGAGTGTGGTGCCCTATTTTTATTCTTTTCCATCAATTTCTTTATTAATTTCACTTTATTTCAATTCTGTCCCGACTAAAAGATTAGCTAAAAATTCATGATAATTCTCCATCTTATCGCATTCAAATCGCAAATTTCATAAATTTATCAAAAAATACGAAAAATGTCTGAATATCAAATTAGTTAGCCATCAAAGAATAATCAATCGCTCTTGAGAGAGCTAGAGCTATAAATATAAGATGAAGTAGTTAGAAAAATGATCACAATATTCATATATCAACAAACAAAAGACTTACCCTATCGTACTTACGACAAATATAATATTTATATAATAATTTTTATTTTTATTAATTTAATTTCTTAATAAACTTTAATGATATCTTATTTTCTTATTTTTTATTTCTCCAAATCAAAATAAATATTATTTTAGTATTTAAAAAATTATTTTTTATAATTGTTTTTGCTATTGTGATACTGACCATCATGTATTTAAATAAATATTTAAAAAATCATTTTATACTAATTTTTCCTCTCGACATATTGACAATCAGATACTTAAAAAAAAATATTTACCAGCATAGAGAAACCTCTTTATATTTAAGTTCAAATTCAGCATAGAGAAACCTCTTTATATTTGTACCTGCATTAATTATTTACTTATCAAAATACATCAATTTTCTTAAATCCAGAATAAATACTATCAAAAAAATTAAAAAAGAAAACTCTCTTTTAATAGACAAACTTGTATTATTAAATCCTTACTGTATGTTAGTGTTAATATTTGGATTGCATATATTTCCTTGTAATATTTAGCCCTATGTAAATATCTGGTGCGTGTGCTAGTTGTAGTAATATATACAGTTAGAAGTTTGTTAGGTTTTAGTTGAGTCTGTTATAGTTCTGCTAACAACCTATTGTCTTGAGGTTGAGCTTGTATATAAACTGTTTATTTGCTATTGCAGAGGTTAAGATGAATAATATACTCTTTTCTCTCGAGTCTTTTCTTTTTAATATGGTATCAGAAGTGGTTCAGATCTGAACCACGGTTCTGCTTCATCTTCCTTGGTGAGATTCATCTTCTCCCTTCTGTCTCTCTAAGCTGCATCAACACATATCAATGGCGGACTCCAACAATCAAAACTCGCACACGCAAAATCAAGATCTCTCTCGCAACACCTCATCCAGTTTCTTCACACCGAATTCCAACAACACCTATGGTCCGAAGCTGTCAATTCAGCTCAAGGATAACAACTACCTCCTATGGAATCAACAGGTAGAAGGTGTCATTCTCACACAGAAGATGCATCGGTTCGTTGTGAATCCCCAAATTCCTGTGAAGTTCAAGACAGATCAAAGTCGCATATTGAACAAAATCTTTGATGAATACGAGGTGTGGATTGTGCAAGATCAAGCCCTGTTCATATGGCTTCTGTCAACCATATCTGAATTCGTTCTTCCGCGAGTGCTATCTTGCAAACACTCTTATGAGGTATGGGATAGAATTCATAAGTTCTTTAATGCACAAATGCGAGCTAGGGTTCGCCAATTGCGTGTGGAATTGAAAACCACAAAGAAAGGTAATCTTTCAATCACTGAATTCGTGCTCCGAATCAAAGCCATAATGAGTTCTCTTCTTGCTGTAGGAGACTCTATTTCAGAGAAGGATCAAATTGACTCAATCCTCAATGGATTACCAGAGGAAGCACTGAGTCACTCACATTATATGATGTCGAAGCTCTCTTGTATGTACAAGAAGCTCAACTTGACAATTCAGGCAAGAATTAGCTATAGCACAAGTATCTGCCAACATTGCTCATGCTCTGCATGGAGCAAATAGTTCCCATGGAAGTTTTACTAATACCAGAGGTAGAGAACGCGCTTACAGAGGTTGTGGGCGCGGTAGAGGTCATTATGTCCAAGGCAACAGACCCCTATGTCAACTATGTGGAAAATCAGGACATGTTGCATTGAATTGTTGGCACAGATACGGTGAAAACTTTAATCCTCATATAGTTCTCAATCAGGAACACAGGCATCTCAGCATGACAAAGAATTCAAATAAGAAGGTTCCACCTTTGGATCTCAGGCAGTGACAATGACAACCACGACTACTCAGCCATATGCTTTTACTCAGGAGTACTCACTACCTACTGACCTTGATTCTCAGGCATGGTTTACCGACTCATGTGTTTTTCATCACCTTACCCCCCTTTTTAAATTGTCTGCACAGTAGTAAACCCTATCAAGACAAATGTCAAGTTCATGTTGGTAATGGTCAAAGTCTCCAAATTAGAACCATTGGAACCTTTTACACCACCAATAAACTTATTTTAAGAGATGTCATGCATGTGCCTGCTATTACCAAAAACCTTTTGTCTGTATCCAAGTTTTTTCATGATAATCATGTTATATTTGAATTTCATCCTAACAAGTGCTATGTTAAATATCAGAGTTCTAAGAAAGTCCTTCTTGAAGGGTTTCTTGAATCTAATGGGCTCTATTGCTTTCCTAACCTCACCCTGAACAGAAATATGTATGCTGCAACCACAATAAGTCATATCTTTTCTTCAACTGTTTCAAGTACAAGTAGCTTAGCTAATTCTGATGTACTATGGCATTGTAGATTTGGACATGCTAACTTTAATACTATCAAAAGTGTACTTAAATTGTGTAATATATCTATTCATAATAAAGCATCTCTTGAATTTTGTAAGCCACGTTGTCTTGAAAAGTCACATAGATTACATTCTCCTATGTCTTCTAATAACTATGCTAAATCTTTTGACTTGATTTATACAGATTTGTGGGGTCCCTCTCCTAGCCCATCAATTTCTGGTTTTAGCTGTTGGAAACTCACCAAATTCTATGATGAATTTCTACCACAATGACAATTTAATTATGAGACAAACAAAGAAAAGAAGACAAGACAAATAATTTCTGCAGAGTTTCTCTCTGCTCACAAACTGTGAAAACTTTCTTATTCACTTTACAACTGCAAAATACTGTGAATGACTTGCTTGACTTGCTTACAAAAAATAGGGGTTACTCCCTCTATTTATAACTGAGCTTACACCCTAAGCCCAAAGTCCAAAATATCTTTTTGTTACTAAATCAAATCTAATTTATTATAGACTTAAATCAAATCTATTTAAATCTAAAACAAATCAAATCTTTTCGACACATAGTTTCAACACATTGGATTACAATTTAACACACCACCTAATTCATTGTGTCTAAACTATCTATGTTCATCATGGCTCTTAGCTTTCTGAATACTTCGACTTGCACTCCCTTCGTCATAATGTCTGCAATCTGATTCTCAGTTCTGCAGTGTTCTAAATTCATCTTCCCATCTGCTACCTGCTCTCGAAGATAATGGAACCTCATTTCGATGTGCTTACTTCGACCATGTGCTATCGGGTTCTTCGCCAGATTAATAGCTGACATGCTGTCTATCTTCATGGTAATTGCTCCATGATTTTTCCCTGTTATCTCTTCGACCAAGTTCACCATCCAAGTTGCTTGACATGCACAAAGAGAAGCAACTATGTATTCTGCTTCGCATGATGATAATGCCACTACTGGTTCCTTTCTTGAATTCCAAGCAACTGGTGCACCACCTAGCATAAACACATATCCTACTGTTGACTTTCGATCTTCAGCATCACTACACCAACTCGAATCAGTGTATCCCACTAACTTGCATTCTTTTCCTTTATCAACTGCAGGAAACAAAATGCCATAATCGAAAGTTCCTTTGAGATACCTTAGTATCCTCTTCACTGCTGCTAGATGTGATACCTTTGGCTTTTGCATGAATCTACTTACCATACCTACACTATATGCTAAGTCAGGCCTTGTATGACAAAGGTATCTCAATGATCCAATAAGTCTTCTGTATTGGGTTGGATCAACATCATCTTCATCTGCATCTTTCGACAGTTGCAGTCTTGGTTCTGCAAGTGTCGAAGTTGAGTTGCATTCTTCCATCTCAAACCTCTTGATAATTTCTCCTGCATATCTTCTTTGATGCATCATCAAACCTCTACTGCTCTTGTAGAATTCGATACCAAGGAAATATGAAATCTCACCCAAATCAGACATTTTGAATTCTTTGCTGAGATCACCTTTGAAGTCTTCGATCTCACTTTTACAGCTACCTGTTATCAACAAATCATCTACATATAGACATAGTATAAGCAATTTACTCTTGCTTCTTCTTACATATACTCCATGTTCAGTTGTGCACTTCACAAATTCCTTCTCCCTTAGAAAACTATCAATTTTCTTATTCCAAGCCCTTGGAGCTTGTTTCAATCCATACAGGGCTTTATGTAGCATGTACACCTTTCTTTCTTCGTCATATTTCACAAACCCAACTGGTTGTTTAACATAGACTTCTTCATCTAAGAGTCCATTTAGGAATTCACACTTCACGTCCATCTGACATATGTGCCAACTGTTTATTTCTGCTAGACCAACAACCAACCTGATTGTTTCGATCCTAGCAACAGGTGCAAAAACTTCATCGAAGTCTATTCCTTCTTTCTGTAGAAATCCTTTCGCCACAAGTCTTGCTTTGTGTCGAGTTACTTCACCTTTCGAATTCGTTTTCACTTTGTATACCCACTTGACATCAATTGCCTTATTGCCTTGAGGCAATTCGACAAGTGACCAAGTGTTGTTGTCTTCGATAGACTTTACTTCTTCGTTCATTGCTTTCACCCACTTCGAATCCTTTAATGCTTCAGCTGCATTAACAGGTTCGATATCCGCGTAGAAAGCATAATGTACCAGCTCACCTTCATCATCTATCACATCATCTGATGTAATCACACAATCTTGCAGGCATGCGTCTTGTTCTTTGAGGCCTGCTTGTACTTGATATATCTGTTGGTTCCTCTTGTCGAACTTCTCTTTCGACTTGAGTTTCTGGCTCTTCAAGAAGGATTCCCACTGAATCTTTCTTGATATTTTCACTCCAATCCCATTCTTTAAACTCATCTATAATCACGTCCCTGCTGATCACAATCTGCTTTTTCACTGGATCGAACAACTTGTAGCCTCCTGTCGAATGATATCCAACTAGAATCATTTGACTTGACTTATCATCAAGTTTTCTTCTCAATTGATCTGGCACATGTCTATGTGCAATAGATCCAAATACCTTCAGATGACTCAAGCTAGGCTTCACACCAGACCAACATTCTTCTGGAGTAATTCCTTCTAGCTTCTTTGTAGGACATCTGTTCAAAATGTATGTTGCAGTCGAAACAGCTTCACCCCAAAACTCTTTAGGTAAATTCTTGCCTTTCAACATACTTCTCACCATATTCATGATGGTTCGATTTTTCCTTTCTGCAATTCCATTTTGTTGTGGAGTATAGGGTGGCACCACCTCATGCACAATCCCTTCCTTTTCACATAAACTGTCGAAGTCTTTCGACACATATTCTCCACCACCATCAGTTCTCAAAACTTTGAGCTTTCGACCACTTTGTCTTTCGACCATAGACTTAAACTTGATAAATACTTCGATCACTTCACTTTTCTTCTTGATCAGGTAAGTCCATAGCTTTCGACTGAAATCATCTATGAATGTAACAAAGTATTTGTTACCTCCCATCGAATCCACCTGGATTGATCCATATACATCAGAGTATATGACTTCAAGACTAGCCTTCGATCTGCTTCCTGCATCCTTGCTGAAGCTATTCTTGTGTTGCTTCGCCTGCACACATTCCTCACATACCTCGTTTGGAATGTCAATTTTTGGCAATCCTGAAACCATATTTCTTCTCTTCAAATCTCTGATGTCTCTGAAGTTGAGATGACCTAGTCTATAATGCCATATCAATTCATCTCTGCTAGCTGTAGTCGAAAGGCACTTGTGCTCCATCACATTTAGTTCAATCTTGAAGGTTCGATTCTGAGACATAGGAGCCTTCAAGATTAATCTCCCATTTGCATCAACGACTCTCATCATCTTATCTTCGATTGACACTTTATAATTCTTTTCGACCAACTGCCCTATACTGAGCAAATTGCTCTTCATGCCTGGTATGTACAACACATTGGAGATTACTAACCTTTTGCCATCTTTCCTCATAATCATAACATTACCAATACCTTCAGCTGCTAGGATATTGTCATTTGCAAATTTTACCATATTTTTCATTGAGGGCTTTATATTGACGAACCAGTCTTTCCTTCCAGACATATGTGATGAACATCCTGAATCCAAGTACCATTGGTCCTTGAATCTATCTTCATCTCTTGTTGTGACCATCAGCATCATCTCTTCTTCTTCTTCATGTTTTGCAAGCTTTGCATCACTTTCTTGATTCTTTCGTTTTTCTGGACAATCACTCGCATAGTGTCAATACTTCTGACAATTGTAACATTGAATGTGACTCTTATCAGGTTTTTGACCACTACCTCTTCCTCTATTTGCAACACCACCTCTTTAGTTACCTTGGTATGGTCTTCTTTGATTCGACACGTCTCCTTCGATTTGGTTTCCTCTACCATTCGATTTGTTGTAGCCACCTCTACCTCTGTCGAAACACTTTCCTTTGCCTTTGGTCTCTTTTGTTGAATGTGCCTGCAAGGCCACATCACTCTTTGATTTTCCTGCAGCTCTTTCGTTCATTCTTTGTTCATGAGATTCGAGCGTCCCTTTAAGCTCTTTCTTTGTCAATTTTGACAAGTCTTTCCCCTCTTCTATCGCCACCACTATGTGGTCGAACTTAGGAGCTAAAGATCTCAAGATCTTCGACACAACAGCTCTTGTTGTTAACGCTTCTCCACATCTCTTGATTTGATTTACTAGTTTTGTAACTCTAGTGAAGAAATCAGATATGCTTTCACTGTCTTCCATCTGAAGCAGTTCATAGGTCCTTTTGTGAGTTTGTAACCTCACTTCTTTCACTTTCTCAGCGCCTCCAAAAGACTTCTCAAGGATTTCCCAAGCTTCTTTTGCAGATTCTGAATCACTAACCTTTTCAAAATTGTCTGGACTGACACATTGATGAATTATAAATAATGCTTTATAACTCAGCTTCTCAGTTTCTATGTATTTCTTCTTTTCTTCTTCTGAAGCGTTTTCTCCAAGCGCTTCGACTCCATATTTTACAAGGTCCCAAAGACCTTGACACCTGAATAAGACTTTCATCTGTTTGCACCAATTCTCATAGTTGTCAACTTTCAGAATTGGTAGGGTTGCTGGATAATTTGCATTCCCATAACTTGTCATCGTGAATTATTCAATCGTTCTTGATTGACACTTCCCTTGAATCGAAACAAAGCTCTTGATACCAGATGTTGGAAATCCACCAATTCTATGATGAATTTCTACCACAATGACAATTTAATTATGAGACAAACAAAGAAAATAAGACAAGACAAATAATTTCTACAGAGTTTCTCTCTGCTCACAAACTGTGAAAACTTTCTTATTCACTTTGCAATTGTAAAATACTGTGAATGACTTGCTTGACTTGCTTATAAAAAATAGGAGTTACTCCCTCTATTTATAACTGAGCTTACACCCTAAGTCCAAAGCCCAAAATATATTTTTGTTACTAAATCAAATCTAATTTATTCTAGACTTAAATCAAATCTATTTAAATCTAAAACAAATCAAATCTTTTCGACACATAGTTTCGACACATTGAATTACAATTTAACATTAGCTACTATATAGCATTTGTGGATGCTAATACTAGGTACACTTGGATTTATTTGTTAAAACAGAAATCAGAAGCCATTAGTGCATTTAAATTTTTCTTGAAGTTTGTTCAAACTCAATTTCAAACCACAATAAAATCTGTGTAGTAGTTTGATTATGGAGGGGAATTTAGACCCTTTACTAAAACTCTTAGTGAATTAGGCATCATACATAGGTTAACTTGTCCCCATACATCCCATTAAAATGGATCTGTTGAAAGAAAACATAGATCTATAGTTGAAATGGGTTTAACCCTGTTGTCACATGCTAACCTGCCTATTCAATACTGGGACCACGACTTTCTTACAGCTACATACTTAATAATAGACTTCCTACTGTGGCCTTAACAAATTTCAACTCACCCTTCCATGCCCTATATAATAAAAGTCCTGAATATTTGTCTATGAAGGTATTTGGTTGCTCTTGTTATCCTTTGTTGAGACCATACAATAAACATAAGCTTGAATTTAGAACTGTGGAATGTGTTTATCTAGGACTTTCAATGAAAAGAAATTCCCTTTTCCATCCCTATTTTCTGACAAGCAAAGTAGCACACGGACTACAATATCTTTATCTTTGCCTTGCCCAGCTGTCCAAGTTTCCAGCTCAGACAATACTGCTATAATTGTACCACTAATATTACCCCAGTCTCTCTAGTTTGCCTCCCAGTTCAGAAAGTTTTGCTGCATCTGTGCCACAAATATCACCTCAGTCACCCTCTGATGGTGACAATACAGTGTCTCATCTGTCTCCATCTCACTCTCAAAATGCACCATCGAGCTTTGAGCCCTTTTCACCTTCAGCACAAAACTCAGTTCACCTTAATGACCAATATGTTTCTGCCATACCTGTACCAACTGAATTAGCTGAGTTACCTGCTAATAACTTGAGCATTTTCCCTGGTGCAGATACTGATACATCCCTATCTCCATCCATAGCCTGCAGCCACAGAATCCCCCCAATAAATAATCACCCTACGTTAACCAGAGGAAAAATAGGACACTCCAAGCCTAAAGCTCTCATAGCACATTCAAAGCCTAATAGTGTCAATAAATACAAACCAGGCTAGTTGCAAAGGGGTTCCATCAACAACAAGGCTTTGATTTCAATGAGACTCTCTCCCTTGTTGTGAAGCTCTCAACCATCAGAGTTATTCTCAGTCTAGATCTCACTTACAACTGGGAAATTCAATAAATAGACATCAATAATGCTTTTATGAATGGTGTTCTCCAAGAAGAAGTATACACTGGTATGATAAGCTTACTCAAGCATTCATACTCTTTGGTTTCACTAATTCCAAATGTGATCATTTTTTATTCATATACTCCAAACAAGGTGTTATTCTCTATGCTCTTGTCTATGTTGATGATATACTACTGACTGGCTCTTCTGCAGCTTTAATACAAGATCTGATCACTAAACTTCATAAAGCCTTTGCTTTAAAAAGGTTGGGAAAACCAGAGTATTTTTTGGGCATATAATTTGTGTATCAAGCAAATGGCTCCTTGTTATTGACCCAAGCCAAATATATCAGAGATTTGCTTGATAGAGCAAATATGCCTAATGCCAATGGTGTGTCTACTCCAATGCTCAACACTTGTAAACTTAGCAAAACTGGTTCTCAACTCTTCTCAGACCCTCATCTGTACAGATCCATTGTGGGTGATTTACAATATGTTACTTTAACCAGGCCTGATATTTCTTATAGTGTTAACAAAGCATGTCAGTTCATGTCAGCACCTTTGGATACTCACTGGATGGTAGTTCGTAGAATTCTTTGATACCTCAGTGGTTCAACATCTCATGGTCTGGTATTTTCTCCCTCTCCTTCAACTCAAAAGTTCTCCTTAAGAGCCTATAGTGACTCAGACGGGGCAAGTGACCCAGATATTCGCAGGTCAACTTCTGGCTCGTGTATATTTTTTGGCCCTAACATTGTGTAGCTTGGAGTTCTAAGAAGCAATCATTTGTAGCACGGTCAAGCACGGAAGCTGAGTATAGGGCTCTTGCACATACTACCTCGAAACTTCTATGGTTGGAATCTCTCTTAACTGAGTTGAAGATTCCCTTTTATCCACCTACTCTGTTATGCGACAATCTAAGTGATGTTATGTTGTCTCGTAATCCAGTCCTTCATGCCCGCACGAAGCACATTGAACTCGATATCCACTTTGTAAGGGAATGAGTCATGGCCAAGAAACGGGTGATTCAGCACATTCCTGCCTTTGCTCAGATTGCAGATACTCTTACATAACCACTTGGCACAACAACATTCCAAGGCTTAAGGAGCAAGCTCAAACTGTTGCCATGCCAACCCCCTTGATCTTGAGGGGGCGTGTTAGAGTTAATATTTGAATTGCATATATTTCCTTGTCTAAATATCTGGTGGGTGTGCTAGCTGTAGTAATATATGCAGTTGGAAGTTTGTTAGGTTTTAGTTGAGTCTGTTACAGTTTGCTAGCAAACTATTGTCTTGAGGCTGAGCTTGTATATAAACCTTCTATCTGCTATTGCAGAGGTTAAGATGAATAATATACTCTTCTCTCTCGAGTCTTTTCTTTTTTAATACTGTCATCACTGCATATATCCGGCAATATTATTGCATAAAAAACTCATTTTTGACAAGAACATCATTGCCGGCAACATCATTAAATATATTCTATGTTCTCGCTTACCATTCTTTCCCTGTATTGCTTTTGAATTATTTATTTTTCTTTCTGATTTTGATGAAAATCCCCTCTAAATAAGAGAACTTAAATAACAAGATTGATAATATTAGTGTCTAGAGATGGGAAGGTTTAAATACAATCTTATTTAGAGAATGGAAAAAGGGAATGGTAGAAGAGAGAGATTCTGCAAACTGATGTTGTTGTATTTTCTTTGATGCCCAAAGTTGACATTAATCTTGGCTACCTTCGTCAATCCTAACCTTATTCCCACAGCAAAGCTTTTTGCTATGCTCCTTAATTTCTAACTTTTTCCCAAAGCAAGCCACAGCTACATCTTTTTTACCAAGCTCAGACCTTCTCTCCAAGAATTCTGTGTTCTCTTTCCATTCCTCTCCATTTGAATAAACCTCCTTTTTCCAAATAGGAACTGTTGCTTTTACCTCATCTATCAAATATCTACATGCCTCAAGTGCATCAGCCCTGTGAACAGACGACACTGCGATGAAGATACTCATTTCTCCAACAGGTACTGTGCCTAGCCGATGAGCAACAGCAATGGAATGTAGATTCCAAGACTCTCTGGCAGACGAACATACAGACTTGATACAACGTATAGCCATTGGAATGTAAGCTTCATATATCAACTCCAAGACTGCTTTTCCGTCAAAAGTGTCACGAGTTGTGCCTGAAAATGTAGCTATAGCACCAGCTTGTGGAGCACTCACAAAGTTCATATATTTACCGACATCGATTAGTTTCAAATTTTCCAAGATTTCAATAAGATCCTTGTTTTCTTCAGTAGCCATATCTGCAGCTTTTAGAGCCTTTTCTTCAGTCAAAGATTAATGCAAATGAGTCCAGCGGTTAATCCTGCATATTGATAACAACTTCTTATAGTTAGGTACACAAGACAGGATGAAACTTATGCCAACATTAAGTTATATGTCAACATCAAACATTCTAAAAAATACATAAATTAATAAAACAAAATGTAACGTCACAAGATAAATATGTATTGTAGACCCTTCAATATTAGGGAGCTTGCTGATGATTAATCAACAAGAAAATTGCTTTAGTCAAACTGATGACATTTCCATGAAAGGTACTCTCACACATTCACTGAGTTTGGAATTCCTTATTTGTCTTGGAAAAACACACCAGTTGATAATAAGGTTGCACATCATTAAATTTGTGTGATCTGAAGTATTGAGCTAGAAAATTGTAATCAATGCTCAGCGTTCATCCACAAACCAGCAGAGCCACAACCAATTTTAATGGTTTATTAGGAACCAGAGAAAGTGATAGCACCTGTGAGAGAGATGTGGGTTTGGAAAGACCAAGTTAGGCCCAAAATATTGATAGCTTATGTGAGGAGAGGAAAGGGACAAAAGACTACTAGTGAGAACCAGTGTTTGTGATCGTTTCTGATGCCACCAAAGAAGATGGATGCCATAATAGCAGAGTTGGGAAAGCGTGTAGTCGCCCTCGAATTGATTCTGGAAGAGATCCAAAACAAAGCTGCTGCGAACCATGAAGCACTGATCTCACTCATCATGCAGATAACCAATCTTTCATGAAGAACAAAGATGTGGCCAGAGAAAATGTTGATCGGAAATAATCCAGTCGACTGAATCACAAGAGCTACAGTTTGCTTCAAAGTCCAAGACACGCAACCAGAGGTGAAAGTGAATCTGGTGCAGGTGTGTATAGAGAGGGACCCATGATCCACTTCTTCAAGGCATTAACGGAAGATAGGGAAGAATTGACCTAGGAAACACTCAAAAGCGCGCTGTTGGAGCGCTATGGCAGAATCAAAGATGGAAAAGTTTTTGAGCAGCTGTTAGAGCTGCGTAAAGAAGATAGAATTCAAGCGTTTGATCGGGTGGCGTAATGGACCTTGCATAGACTTTGATTCCATCTTAGAATATGGGTTAAGCTTAAATCAATCTTATCAAATCGGCTTGTAAAGTGAGGACTTCTCTCACTTATAAAGCCATGTTCATGATCTCATCCGATATAAGACTCTTAACATATGGAATACTCACGTGACAATGGCGTCCGTGTGTGTGTCATTTAAGCCCTCATGAAATAACCGAGACATAAAAAGGATTTGTGCTTTAAGTGTGGGAGATCATTTTAGTCACTCCATCAATGCCTTGTAGGCAACTCAGCCAACACGATTGAGATAGAGGCGAAAAAGAAAGTCGACGAGGATGGATGGCTAAATGTGATGAGCAGGACTTCCAACTTAAAAGGGAAGATACAAGGGTTTTTGATATAGTTGCTTGTTGACGACATGGCATGACTACCCACAATTTCATCCTTAGGAAGCTGGTACAGAAACTAGCATGGTCATAAAGCTCAAACTCATGGGGTGTGCAAGGAAATCTCACTAAAACTGCGACAACTTCAGGTTACTATTGATAGATTCTTTTCAATCTTGAGGGCATAGACATGATGTTATGAATGACTTGGCTAACTTCCATAGGAGGGATGTGGGTAACTAGATTAAGCAGGAGATGTTCTTCAAATTTAATACAAATTTGGCGGTGCTGAAAGAAGAAGGGGATCAATGTATGAGACTCATGGGGAGACCAAATTATGGGCCGAATGGCCTTATTGAAATGCTCCATTTGAATGGGGGAACAAATTGAAGGGGAGAGAGGCTAGCGTAACAGAAGTGTAGAATATGTTGGATATTGAATCTCAAGTATTTCATGAGCTCAAGGGGCTGCCTCTAAAGCGTGGATATGACCAAGCCATCCATTTTGGTGAGGGAGAGAGACCAGCAAATGTGTGCCCTAATCGATATCCCCACCACCATAAAAATGAGATGAAACACCAAGTAGGGGGGAAGTTGCAAACCGGGGTGACAGAACATAGTCAAAGTGCTCTTTCTAGTCTGGTAATGTTGGTCAAGAAGAAGGATGACACATGAAGAATGTGTGTTGGCTATCAAACTTTAAATATGGTAACTATTCTGGATAAGTTCCCTGTTCCTGTAAATGATTATTTGTTGGATGAGTTGCATGGAGTTTATTATTTTTTTCCCCTAAACATGATATCAAGTTGGGGTACCATCAAGACCGGTTTAGAGAGAAGGATGTCCACAAAATGGCTTTCAGGACGACCATTAGGAGTATCTCATCATGCTATTTGGTTTGATAAATGTTCCATCCTCCTTTCAGGCACTTATGAATGAGGTATTCAAACCAATGTTGCGAAAAATTATACTGGTGTTTTTTTATGATAGACAGGTGTAAGGTGCAAGTTTAGAAGAGCACCTCAAACACCTCAAAAATAGTGCTGAAAGTGTTATATGACTAGTAGTTGGTTGGCAATTAAAAGAAATGCATGTTTGTTCAAGCATCAGTAGAATACCTTGGCCACGTGATTTCTA